AAATCCGCCCTATACCAGTTGGTTGATTAACAATGCCCGATACAATCGGCTTATAGAACACTTTTTCTCTCTATGTTTTGTCAGTGAAGCGTTACATCCCGACCCTGCAATCTCTCGCATATAAATCACCTTCACAGTCATTCTATTTGCTCCAAAAATGTCCTACTGTCGAGTGTTCTATCTGTGCATATTGGCCGTTTTTGGTGTGGTTGTCGGCCAACTAGGGCTTGGCGGTATGTATGGTAATCCCTATGGCATGGGCATGGGAATGGGAGGAATGGGTGCGTTCAACTTTTTAATTATTGAATTTTTTTTCGCCTAGAAAAAGTATTTTTATACGAAAAAAATCAGGAAAGCATAAGGACAGAATGGAACAACAAGTACATAATGACTAGAACATCTTGATGCAAATAATAAGCTCTTAAAAGCCTCGAAAGTCCGAACGTTTCTTTAATCCCAAAGACTCTTTTTGAATCCATAATGGAAAATCCCCCTTGCTCACCTCATTTTCGATAAGATTCTGCCTTTATCTGTTGAGCGGAATTTATAGAACCTTGAAGTAATTCTCTGCATTATGGAGGTTTTAAAACGGAGTCGATGTCTGTTTGACGATAAACTCTCTCTACTGCATATCGATATTCTAAATTTTCACTTTGAGACATTGGGTGGACTATGGTGGCGAAAAAGGAGCAAATAAGAGAAGGTATCAAACACCTTCAAAATATTGGGTGGATAATTAAAACTATGAATTGTAAGGGCAAAACACGCTTTCGCCTTTGATAACAAGGGATTTTGAAGAAATTATGACTTTTGTTAAAATCCCTAATATTTTTATAGTGAGGAGAAAAGTTAAGGGATCGCATAAAGTTAGAAGTAAAGGAAGCAGAGCGAGAAACATTACTTCTGTCTGTGTAATTACCTATATCACTATCAAATTTATCTATAAGTGAATTTCCTCATTGCAAATTCTAAGAAAAATAAGTGATTGAATCATCTGGTTACAAAAAGATTGCTAGGTGAAGTTTTTGAAGGTGATTTTGATTTCATTCAGTTACTTCTTGTACACCTAAGCTTTGCAGGAATACCAGGTATGGGCCTCGGTTACGGCGGCATGATGGGCAATCCTTATGGATCCTATGATTACAGGTGTAGAACGTCAGTTATCTATGCTTTGAATTTTGTTTTGGCATTCAATTCGGTATTCTCAAGTGTTTTTCAGTCTCCTCGGTCTTGGTGGTGGCGGTTACGGCTACAACCCGATGTTCTCTGGAATGCTAGGAAAGAAATAATACGATCTCGTGATTGAGCCTAAACACTTTATATATGTACAAATACCTCAATAAGGAAGTCTCATGTTTAAAATAAACTTTTGTCCAAAGTTCTGGCTATTCTGCAAAACCCGTGAAGAGTTGAAGTAATCTTCATTAACTCATTGTTCCCAGCAAGTACCGCGCACGGATGCAATTGATGACGCGGATCGGACGTGCGTATTGAAGATGCGTTTAGTCCCTCCAAAACGGAGCTTATTAATTCTCATTTAGTCTTTGGTTCCATTTGCAAATGTTTTTCATATGAAGGCTTTGGGTTTTTGATTA